GCCCCTGGCTCGTTTAGCAAGCCCACAGTGACTTCGCTCAATGTCTGGAAGACTGGAACACTCTTATTAATTAATTTGAATTGCGAAGAACAGGCATCCCTCCATCCCGAGACACAGGACGCATACATTTACGTTGTCATAATATCTTGGACCGTTCCAGCACCTACTCTACCTGACTAACAAGTTGCAATACAATTGTACAATCTACATCATTATACACCCATAACTCATAAGCAGCCAAACCCCAAACATATACTTCAAAAATTCATTTTTATGGAAGACGAACCCATAAAGAAACTGAGGAAACTATTTTATCGTTTATTTGATTATTTATTTTATACTTAAAATAACTTATGATTAAATTTTTATTAAGATTATTTATTATAAAGGTGACTTTCTCTAAAAAATAATAAGAAAAACAACAAGGTGAAAATTATATGTCTTAAGTGGCTGAGATTTTTCTTATTTACGCAAAATTTAATGAATGAAAATTTGTTAACAATACTTTGAAAGGTCTGTATGTTACATATATAGGAAGATTATAGTTATTATCATTTTATGTTTATAATTCTTACTATCTGTTTGATTATTTTAAATCGATTTGAAATTTAAATTTTCTTTTTTTTCAACCGTTGATTTCAAATCGATCCAACGGTAACCAAAATAAATAGTAAGAGTTATAAGTTTAAAATACTATTAAGTATAACCATATATATATATATATATATATATATATATATATATATATATATATATATATATATATAATAAGTAAAATGTTTAGGTGTGATTAGACAGCGCTATTCCATCAGGGCAGGATAGACCTTCCAACTTTTTTGAGGATTTTTGGGAGAAATTATAGTTTGTCTACCAATAATATCCTCATATTAGCTAGCGAGATTTGAATTCACGCCCTTGTGAAATATGAAACTTGTATAATTTATGGGATAAATAACAATTATGTTATAGGCACAAGATTCCTATTATGCAACACTACCAACAAAACAAAATTATTGAATACAGTGTCTCTTTTAATTTCTTTATTATTATTTTACTTGTCATTTTTTGTTGCAGAAAAAAAAATTTCTTGCTGCAACAGGACGAAACGAAAGTCCATAATTTATATTAGTAAACAATTTATGGAGGAGGATTATATTGACAAATTTTTGTTATACAAATTTGCAAACTCTACTATGTTTTATCGGTAAGACTTCACTCAAGAATATCTTATCTGTAAGGAATAATATAATTTATAAGAGTTTATTAAAAAAAAATTGTAAATATAATATTTTTTCAATTTGTGTGTATATAAGATATTTTCTTTCGTTTGCAGTTGATTTTGGGTCGTTCTTTAATTATAATTATCCTAGACGGGCATATACGTCTAGTTTATTAGGTCAGCCATTAACGCTCATAATAGAGTATTGAACTCTTGCATCCAAAATGAAACAAGTATTCTCTCGCCTTAGTTAAGCGGGTGTTCGGTAGAAAGTGAAATTTTCTTTTTCTAGAAAAATGGAATGGAGAAAATTATTTGCCTGTATTTAATTAGGATGTGAAGAAAAAGTATGGCTAAGAAATTTTTTTTCTCCTCATTTGCTTTTCCATATAAAATGGTTATGGAAGATTACTATTGATGAGGTAGAATTATTTTTTTCCCAAATGGTTAGAAAATTAACATACAATATTAATAAAATTAACTCAATATTTTCAGAAAAAATTTGGCATACCAAACACTTTTTAGTAACTTATCAAAAAAAAAAAAAATTCTAATCATATTCTCAAAAATTATTTTTTTTCCGATAAATTTTTTCCCCCTCTACCAAACACTCCATAATTTCATTCTTCAAGGATACATGCTGCGTTGTAGGGGTGTTCACAGTCTGGATTTGATCGGTTTTGGAAGTAAAAATTATCTGATCTAATCCCTTCGGTTTAATCATGTAATCGTCCATTCGGTTTGAATTTTTTTTTCAAATCTGATCCAATCCAATCCAATTTTATTCGGTTTTGGATTGGATCGATTTTCGGTTTTTTGAAAGCCTAAGATTTGTATGATTATTATTTGGCAAATAACATATCTTTTATATGTATCGGCTTTGTAAAGTTTGTCTAATGATTATCGTGTAATCTAGAAGCATTGTACAACAAAAAAGTTAAATTATCATATTTTACTTTCCACAAAAAATTTATAATATGATTGTCTGAGATACGAAGTAACCCAAATTTTTATCATAGAGGAGCTGCTGTACAACAATAACCTATGTAATAAAAATATATATGTATCTTACAAAAAAAAATATAACATAGATCAAGCACAACTCACTTTCTCCAACATAATGAGTTAATGGGTCTTGGATTTAGAATTTTACTATATGATTTTTGAGGTATGATTGAGAAAAGGTCCAAGTAGATAGATGGTAAGGTTGAGGAATAATTGAATCGGTTTGAATTGATTCGGTCTTCATCAACCATTTAAAAATTGATCCAATTCAATTAAATTTTGTGATTTTTATTTTATTTTTGATTTTTTAATTTTCGATTTTTGGTTTGTCGATTCAATCACCGTAATTTGAATCGATTTGGATCAGTTCTAGACACCCAAACTGCGTTGCCACCCACTTGGTGGGACCCGTAATGACAAAATGATTAGGCTCGTTCTCTCACATACGAAAATCTTTTCCCTTATAAATATCTCACCATCCTGTAAGAGATATCATACTCATTTATCTCGAGGAAAACGAAACATATCTAATCCTAATAGTAATTTCTTTTTTATAATTTATGTGGTTGCTTTGTTACTAATTTAATGTTATCAAAATTTTCAAACCTGGGTGCGTATAAAAAACTTTGATGCTACATTGCTAAGTTACAGTAAGCATGTGATAATCAAGAGAAACGGAACATACTTGAACTCCTCGGAAGCACTGACTATTAATAAGAGGAGGACGTGCCCATTGTGGGATGTGAAATGTTTTTTCCTCGTTACAAGCATTTAGGTATGAGTGGAAATTTGGATTGATACCACACCATACAAATTCTACACGAATATAAACATACTTAATGTGAACATGATATGAATTTAAAATCAAATTAAACTTTTGATATGAACGTGACTCATTTATTTTTTGGTTGACACAACACACACATAATTCGTGACCTCAAAGTGCGTTTCTTATTTTGTGAGTTTACATGACATGACATGAATTACTTATAAACATTAAAGTGTTTTGCTTATTATGTGAATTGACACGACACGATAAGACGCAAATAACTCATTTATGACATGATATGACACGTCACAAATAATCTATAAAAATATTAAAATTGATCAATTTTAAATTTATGAGTTGATACGTGACATGATTCAAATTTTATTTATTTAATTTTATCAATATAAATTTAAAAATAAATCAAGTCGAACACGATTTTTTCTTATGGTGTTTGTATTGTGTCGCTTAGTTGTGCTGATGAGAAATCTCTCCGTTGAGCACTTAGGGGCTGTTTGGTATAAGAATTTTCTTAAAATTTCTAAAAAAATGAGGTGAGGCAATTTTGTTTCTAATGTTTGGTACGAGGAAGCTGAAAATAATTTCAAAACTTTTTTTTCCATCATTTTATTTTACACACCATATTTCTAAAAAAAAATATCATATGATACTTGATATTTTTATTGTTCCATAGTATCAATCAAGGAAGCACGGACACTTGTAAAAACAGGAAGAGTCGGGTCCGACACGCTCCGACACGGTGTCGGACACGCGGTTGACTTTTTCCGACACGTTGACTATTCCGACACGCGAATTTGACCGTGTCCGACACGGTCAAATGGCATTTTCGTAATTTTTTTTTAATTTTTTTTTTAAATTTTTTTTTTTTAAAAAGTTAAAATATATTAATAAAACTTCCACCTGATCATATCAATTTTATCTTTTTGTCTTTTTTCCACTTAAGTAGATAAGAGATCATCTCAGCATCATTGTTGTCAATTCCCATCACGCTCTTGTTGTATCTCTCTCTAATATGATTTGATCTCTCTATCTGATATTATATCTCTCTCTCATCCCAGTTCGTATTTTTTTTATTAAAGCTTCCATCTTTATAACGTGTTGATGGGTATTATTAATTTAGTTTCATTTTTTTGTTAAAATATTAAATATTAAATGAAATATACACTATATAAATTAAAAATATTATTTAATATTAAAACGTGTCCCAACGTGTCGAAATCCATAATTTTTTAAGATTGACGTGTCGGAGTGTCGTGTCACGTGTCGCGTGTCGTATCGGTGCTACATAGGTATCAATAGAATTAATCCAATATTCTTGAAAAAAATTTAGACCCACTAAACATTTTTTCATAACTTATGTGAATTTTTTTTTTTTATCATTTTTCCAGAGATATATTTTTTTTGGATAAAAAAAATATCTCCTCTCTTAAAGTCGTTGTTTGTCAGGTTGTTACGTATTTATGTTGTCTAATATAATCGCGATTGGCGGAAAGTGTAGTCAGGCACTTTAGGGACCCGGTTGGCGGAAATTTCTTAAATACAGTTGATGTACTTAAATGGTTACGTCTTTTTTTCGAATAGAGATTTTTTTTTTCTATTTAATTTAAACTTTTTTTTATTTAATCCTTCTAAATCTTAAAATTTTTCTCATTAGCAAAGGTATAAGTACAACGGATGCATAAAATTTTTTCTCCCAGTTGACAGAGTGGAATGCGCAATGGTGGCTTAACACGTGCCACCTGGTGTTGCGGTGAGCCAAGAGAAGAATGTGAGCATTAGATGATGCTCAATTGTTTTGCTAGTAAGGCGGTGCTAAACAGATTTGACAATGAAACCTATATCAATATAAAAATAATAAATTAAAAAAAAAATATTCTAACAATCAATTAGTATTATTATTAATATTATTATTAATTAATTTCACACATACAATAAAGATCACTTCAATTCACAAATTGTATTATTATATCTGGTTATCCCTATCAAATTTTTTTTTTTTTTAAATATCAAATCAATATTCCAAACTAGTAAAGCAAAAGTGACGCAGTGACGGTAATTACATGTCTGGTCTAAAACAAAACGGTACCACATTCCCAAAGAAAAACAGTCGAGAGTATATTCTTCAAGAGAGAAACCAAGCAACCATATCTATCTCTCCCAATTTGGTGCAATCGCTTTCCCAATCATCGTCTTTCCAAAGCCAAGTCAGCAGGTTTTCTTTGTGTTCCCAATTAGAAGATTCGGACTCATTAGAATGAATATCACTAAACTCTATTAAGCTCTCCCAATCCCAGTTATCATCCAAACCCAATCCTTTCGGAGAATTACAAGAATAGCATACTCCTCCACTTTCCCCATTCGAGCTTGGGTCCTCCCTCGTTCCCATTTTGTCATGACTCGCATTCCGTCTTTCGTTTTCATCACCAACACTCGCCCTCACATCATTGCTTTCCCTTTCTCTCTCTTCGCTTAAGGTCAAAACCCCACTTGCACCCATCATTTCATTAAAACTCAACGCCCCACCACCGTCATTAATGCCTTCGACTTCACACAGTCCTAAGATGTCGTCATCAACGCCAAGACACTTGTCAAATTCCATCAAATTCCCTTCATGAGTTTCTTCATAGGAACTTGGCTCATCAATGAGCTCTACTTTCTCGTCAACTACTTGAGGTTCCAAGACCATGAAATCCACGATGGCGCTAGACAAACCCTCACTCTCTAGGGACGGTGTGGGTGGCAATGGAACTGCAGCTTCACTTTTCTGTTGAGTGAAACTTTGTTTAGGCCTTTGGGTGTAGCTGTTGTTCTTCTTCATGGCCCGACGACTAGTTCTGCCACCTTTCCTCTTAGCCTTAGGTGGAAACGGAATATCTACTTTGGGTGTATCCATAACTCCTTGCACTTGTAAGGTGTTGTCTGTAGTAACTGTCCTCGCGAAACTGTAAATTTTCCTGCTAAGGTGAGAATTCCAGTAGTTTTTTATCTCGTTGTCCGTTCTTCCTGGCAAGTGACTTGCTATCAAGGACCACCTATAATCAGCAAAGTCAGAAACTTTCACTCTTCTATTTTATTATTAAATACAAAGTCAGATTAAATTATTTAAAAAAATGATTTTATAAGAGTCGTGTGGTAGGATAAGTGATTGTGTAATGTTATAGAGATTCGTTTTGCAAGCCGTAATTTTTTTTTTCTTCAAACAGTGTGGGTCCCATAAAATATTGTGTGTGTAGGAAAGTTTGTTGTGTCACGTCAGATAACAAATTAGCATAAAACATACTCCATAATGGAAAATGAATAAAACAGGAGTGTAAAAAGATATGTTTAATAATAGCATTCTACTGTATTTTTTTTTTTTTTTGATACATGAAAAAATATTTTTCTACTGTATTACTATATTTAGAGTGCGTGCAAAACACCGACATTTGTGGATGATTTTTTAACCTAAAAGCGAGAAAAGGGATCTTAGCACTATTCATTCCCTTTTATATTTCCTCGCGGAGCCGGGGAGCTTTAAAAAAGGTTATAGCTGTCGTATTCAATTCTTTCCGCAGTCACGCAAATGTTCTAGACTTTTTTTGTGTTCTCAGCAATTTTGAGAAAAAAATTTATACTTTTAAATTATATACTTTTATATTTTTTTTAGTATTTAACATTATAAATTTTTTTTTTCTCTCTTTAGTCACTTCAGCTAATGTATAGATAAAAAAAGAATAATTTTTTATATTATAATTATGTTTTACTGATAAAATATAGTGTTAAAAACTAAAATGACAAGTTATATCCTTTAAAAGAAATACACTTTACCCTTTTATTTTATATCATTTCCATCTCTCATTTCTAATTCAATTATATATATTAATAACATAATTAAAATAGCACATATTTATTAGTCATTGATAGATATAACACTTAAGAATTTGTTGTGTAACTCCTGATACATTATTATTTTGAAATTAAAAGTTACATAAATACTTGTGTCAACTAAATATCTTATTTAAAATGTTGAAGTAATAATTCATATTTATTAATATATATAAGATATATAAATTATATGAACTAGGTCCATGTAAAATATTTGATATTTTTGAGAAAGAATATGTTATTATTTCTTAAATTCACACATATATATATATATATATATATATATATATATATATATATATATATGTAAGAATAAGAAGTATTACATTAAATTTTAATCATTAATTTGTTTGCATTTAAGAGTTCAAACATTTAATAAATCAGAATCATTAAATTTAAGTAAAATCAACTATAAAAATTGAGAATAGTTTTATCCTATATATATATATATATTAAAAAATTAAGTAAAGACAAAAGTTGTTGATAGAGGTCTCGATCTCTATTATTACAGAGAGAGAAATCAGCTGAGCTTTGTTGGCAAGAAGATGACTGAGGTTTTCTGTTTACTTTTTTTATATTTTTGGTACATCTGTTTTTTAAAACAGTGACTTGTGATATATTTACAGAAGTAATTAAACTGAATTGCAGTACTTAATTAGGAATGAAAATCAATCTTTTAAAAAGAATTAAGTAGCTGACCTGTTGCCAAAGGAAGCGTGTAGCTTTACGATGGTATAGTCCTCTTCAGCAGAAATGTTCCCTCGTTTGAGGTCAGCCCTCAAATAGTTAATCCATCTCAGCCTGCAACTCTTCCCACACCTTAATAATCCTTCCAAACCCCAAAATGCATGTCAGAAAGAAGCCAATTAATAAGACAAATTACTTCCTCAACAATATCCATATATACATAGCAACATAATTTATAGTTTGAAAGCTCTTAACTCAAAACATACAATGGTCCCCCAAGAAACAATAATAATATTATTAAATAAGTAGCAGAGTCACAATCGAAAAATTTACAATTGATACCCGCATTCTTGGGCAATGACCTCCAGGAACCTTCCCCATTAGCCTGAATGTACTTTGTTAAGATCTCATCCTCCTCTGCAGTCCACCTTCCCTTCCTCAACCCCACTTTTTCACAACAAGGTGCCCTTCCCATATTTAAGCTATGTTTTTGTCCACTATGCTGCTAATAAGAAATGCACAAATTAAACTGTTAAAAAAAAAAAAACAAAACAAAACAAAAAGCACAAAAACAAACTAGATATAAGATATAGCTAGTGTTTGAGATGGCTACCCGAGTCACTGTAGACTATTGGAGAAGGGCGTGTGCATGGTTGAGTGTTGTCAAACGAGGTGCTCTCGTGCTGGTGCTTTAGCTGGCTGAAGTGTAAAAAGGCTTAGAGAAGTGCAAGTGATTTATAGAAACAACAAAAGTGATGTGGGGCTAGTGATTTAGACTAATCTGTGGTGGCAGATTGTGCCACGTTGGGTTGGTAAGAATGCTACAAGCGTGGCTCACCCGCCTTCGACACCCTTGTGACGGGGCTTCCGTCTCCCACGTTGATGCCCCATTTACGAACTGTCCCTTCTTTGAATAAATCACACGAAGAAATTCTTAATTGCTGGCTAGAAATCTCTCTTTGATTACATTTAATATATGTCAATATATTTAGACGGAGTATATTCTAACTACCAAAAATTCTCACTACTAACTTACTACCCATCACATGGGTCAAAGAGAGAGAGAATGTTAAATTTTTTTTGAAAATAGAGAAAAGTGTTAATCTAATGGTGATTAGATAAGTAGTAAGTTGGTAGTGGAAAATTTTGGTAGTGAGAATATCCCTCCTCGTCTATTTATATATATAAAAGTTATTGCAGTTATTAATCTTATGTTATATAAGATAGGTAATTTATGGGATGAAATAAAGTTATAGGGCCTATAATTTAAAAAACAATAGAAAAAGAAAAGAAAAATAAGCATAAAATTTTATGAGTATGCAACGTAAGATAATTAATTATCTTACGTGATATAAGACAACTATTTCCCATAACTTATTATGTATCTCCCCAAATGCAGAAATAATGCAGCAAAAAGCAAAACTATTTTTTACATAAAATATATATAGTTAATTGTATGAAAATTTTTATTAATATCTAAATCGCAAAGCTAAATATTTGCATTGAATGAGGATGAAAGTTTTACATAAAAATATACGGGTTGCATTTTCTCGTAGATAATTGATACAATCAAGTGAGATCAATTGGTTAAAAAAAGAAAAAGAAAAACTGATAAAGTGGCTGGCACATATTTTAATCTTTGTATAAGAGAAAATTTTATTTTCCTATAACAGCAGATTTACATTTTCCAAAAATATATTAATACCTGAATCACCATATTTACATTTTTCAAAAATATATTAATACCTGAATCACCAGTGTTAATATTTTTTAGACACAGATATCTTTCATGAAAGACAAGTATGTTCAGAACGAGTCAAGGATAAAGACTTTAAATCTCTTTCAAAGATAGTATTGAAAAGAATCAAACACATGCTTTAACCCCACATGCTAAACTCTATGCTCCAATAGAGCTATCATTATTTGATACCAGTGTTAATATTTACATCAACCATTCAAAGATTAAAATTTTATGTGAAAATTATTTCAAGATTGCAATTGGTGGGTGTCAAATCCACTTCATTCTCATGGAAAGTTTTGTTATCTTTTTATCCTATCCAACATGACTGAAATAATAAAAAATCAGTGGAGAAATCTCCAAAAAAAGTATGTGAAAATGTATTTATGTATAAACAGCAAGAGTTATTCATATGATAAGGGAATAAAAAATTTACATGAAATTATATCAATATTTAAATCAGAGAATAAATATTAATATAATAGGAGATGAAAATTTTATATTTCGGCATATTAATATCTAAATAACATGAATAAATACTTAGGTCACATGTGAATGAAAATTTTCCATAAAAATACATTAATTAGTATCTGAATTCTATAAATAAATATTTTTATATATTAAAGATTAAAAGAAATTTACATTAAAACAAATGTTTGGTACATTACAGAGAATATAGGCACTAGTTTAAAAACAATTTAAAAAAGCAAAAAAATTCATGAAACCATTGCAAATTTAGGAGGATCCAAGTGGTTAAGAGCAACAAAGCATAGACTCGTTATTTTTTTCAAAATGTGCCTGTCGCCACCGATATACTCCGATACGTTTCGATACGCGTCCAACACATGGTTAACATTTTGGACACGCAGTTAATGTTCTGACACAATTTTTTGACACACAGTCAACTTTTTCTGACACTCGGTCAACCCTCCGACACTTTTTTTCTTACTTCTTGATTTTATTTTATTAACTAAAAATAAAAAAATAATTTATAAATTAATTTTTTTCTGTTATGAAATTTACATGAAAAATTAACAAGGTGCGAGAAATTATTTTTGTTTATATTTATGTTATAAAATTTGAATATTTGATTGATTATATAACTTATTATAGGCTGTTACACGTATTAAATATAAATTATATTATATATTAAAAATATTATTTAATATCAAAACGCGTCCTACCATGTAAAAATATGACATTTTTTAGAATTAACGTATCAGCGTGTCGTGTCGTGTCCCGTGTCAGTGTCGGTGCGTCATAAGAGGTGGGAAATGGAAAAAATGGGAGAGAGCATAGACAATACCCGACGTGTACATCTAGGATTGGTTGGAACATGCAAATTAAAGGCTCACGCTGATTGGTCAGTGTGGACACAAGCATGCTGCAAATCGTAGTCCTGCATTTGAATTGGCAGAATCAATTTCATGATTGTGGTCCGGAATCGTCATTTTTTAGGTGGTCTCTTAGTGTAAATAGAAGGGTAAAATTAGAAAAAAAGAAAAATATTAAGGATAAAATGAGAAAGAAAAAATTAGTGTTGTGAGAGGGAGCACCAAATTATTAGATGATCCTGTAGCATATTAAATATTTCCCATGACTCCCACTCCTAAACACACTCCCAAACCCAAAAAAGAAAAGAAAAGAAACACATACCCCATTCATTTGATTTCTCCTCACAATTCCGAATTCAGAAACAAGATCTGATCCCTAAATTTGCGTTTCAAAGAGATCCTTCCCTTAATATTTATCCATGGCTCATCCAAGATCCAAAACTTTTTTTTTTAATATTCTTTTTTTGTAGGTTTTTTTTTTTTTTTTTTATCGGTTCATCGCTTCACAACCAGTTCAATTCGGGTCGTGTCTCGGGATTAAATCTCTCTCAAAGATGATACTGGGGAGGATTGAACACATGCTCCCACTCTCATCTGCTCAGTTCCGTGGCGCCAACTGAACTACCATCATTTGGTCAAGATCCAACCTCTTGTTCCTTCTATACGCTTTGTGCTATTCTCCCATTGCCATTGCGGGGTATTCACTCTTTCTCTCTATTTTATTTGTCCTTAAACAAGGCATTGAATTCGCGATTCAAATTCTGTTGTTATTTGGGGTGTTCATCAACCGATTCAAACTGCGGTGACCGAATCGAAAAATCGATAACCATAACTGAATTAACTGAAAATCAAAAAATCAAAAAATCAAAAAAATCCCCATATTTTAATTGGATTGAATCGATTTTCGATTTGGTTGGTGAAAATCGATCGAATTCAAACCAATCCAATTCTTTTATATATTTATTATTTTCGAAAGATGGTGACTTGAAATCTTGTTGTTTTGCAGACTTAGAATCTTGGATTCTATTGATAGCAAACTATCTTGTTTTAATTTTTTATTATCTATTAATCTATTTTAAATCTTCATGAGTTTTAAGACTTGTTTTAGTTTGACGACTTGAATTTCTCAGTGGTTTGTAACTTTGGATGACTTTATTTTGATATAGCTAGTGATTTGTAAAACTAAAATTTTAGGCTTTTCGAAGAACCGAAAATCGTTCCAATTCAAATCGAATAAAATTGGATTGGATCAGATTTAAAAAAAAAATACAAACCGAATAAATGATTAAATGATCAAATCGAAAAGATTGGATCAGACGATTTTTGCTTCAAACCGATCCAATCCAGACCACGAACACCCCTAATTGTTATGTAGCAAAAAGAGCTATTACGATATATTTTAAGTATCAAAGGGCGCATCGGACGAGTAGATAAAGAGGGCGTATAGGAAGCTGGCTTTGAAGTACCATCCAGATAAGAATCTGGGCAACCAAGAAGCTAATAAGAGGTTTGATGAGATTAACAATGGTATAAACTTGTAATGTCTTTGGTTGTTTCCTATGATTTTTTTAATTAATTAAGTTAGTGATTAATTTGGTTTCAAAGGATGTTATTTATTGTTTTGACTGTTAATGTTATTATTTATCAGCGTATGAAGTACTTTCTGATAGCGAGAAGAGAAACATTTATGACAAGTATGGTGAAAAGGGTTTGAAACAACATTCTGTAGATGGAGGCAAAGACGGTGGAATGGGCATGGACTTCCAAGGCATCTTTAGCTCGTAAGTCCCCAACACTTTTCTTCACGTTAACTTTACTAACCTATTGTGCTTGGATTCGAAGGTGTGAATATATTACTGTTTCATCACTGCTTGGTTGGCCGAGATCTGATCAGGTAAATGTAGGAGCAAAATAGGAGGAGCAAATCTGCCAATAATGTGCAAGCGCACACACGTCAAGCAATATAGGAATTTTATGAGCTCTAAATTATCGTCCTAAGAAAATAATTATAAAAGTTGCGCTAAAAGAAATGTAAAATAGAAAAGGAAATAACTGAGAGCAAGTAGAAAGTACAGAGCAATTTCTTATCAAGGAACCAACTCGTTCTAAGACTAGGTTAGCCAAAAAGTACTTGTCACCAGCTGATTGAACAAAGTCAAATAATCTGGAATTTGTAAGAACTGGGTTTATCCCTTAGACTTGATAGAACCTTGTCTTAAAATAAATTGGAGAATGTTGAAAGTGAGAGCAATAAACAAAAAGTAGAGAGAAATTGAGATCAATAGTTGGAATGTAGTAATAGTAAAAATAGTAAAAGAAATAGAGAGCTAAAGAGAAATGTTGGTTGAAAAATTCTTAACATCATCAAACAAATAACAAAAGAGAAAAAAAATAATGTTGAGTTCAAGATTAAAAAAATGTAGGCTTGGGTTGATATTTTTGCCCTCTTGGTCGTTCCTAAAACTCCATCTGCTCCCTTTAATGGGATAAGCTCCCAACACCCGTTTTGGCTATGGAGAGAGATTCCTCTGTCACTAAGTTGTACTTCCCAAATGATGGTAGCTCAGTTGGTGCCAGAGAACTGAGCAGGTGGGGGTGAGAGCATGTGTTCGATCCTCAACAGTACCATCTTTGGGAGGGGTTTAAAGTCTTAATCCCGGGACCCGACCCAAAACAAGCTAGTCGCGAAACGATGAACCGATTGGAATATCTCCAAAAAAAAAAAAAAAGTAGTCTAACGCAACTGGCCAGATTACACCAAGCTTTCTTAGAAGTCCTATTAATTAAAACTCAAGGGAGATCGTGCTGCTCCTTATTTCTAAGGTAGCTACATAGATTGCTAGAGAGCAACTATACATATGACAGTTGCTTCTTACTTCTAGATTTTCCTTTCTCTAAAAGCAAAGACCCTAAGATTTATCCTTTGATGTTATACTTACCAGGATTGTTTTACACTATTAGGATTCCCTCGATGTTATACTTACCAGGAATATTCACATTACCAGGAATGTCTTACACTACCAGGATTATTTTGATGTTATAGTCACCAAGAATGTTTTACACTGCCAGGAATGTAAATTAAACCAAGGAACAACACAAATCCATAAATGAAAACAAATTTCATAATAAGTTCAACCTAAGACAAAGGGGGTACTTCTTTTTCATCCTTTCCTAATAAAAAGATTTGATTCATATTGAGAGTCATGATTACAAAAATTCCAAAACACAAACTAAGAAAAATAGAAGAAAACTTAGAAAACAAAGAAACAAGGGAAGAACGTGATGTCCTTTCCCTAGAAGGAGAGAAACTTCAGAACTTAGCACTTCAAAAGTGTCAAAGGTATGTTGATGATGGTGTTGTCCTCTTTATTTATAGTGAAAATATCTTCTGCACGTAACTCTTGATGATGGATCAAGTCAGCGGTTCAGTTTTTCGGGTTGCTCCTTGATCTGGGGTATTTTCTTCTTTCAGCTCGTCTCTTAAAGTGTGCTCCTGGGCTGCTGTTACTTTTGCTGAAACCTTAACATTTTTGTGCTACAATTGTCGATTTCTTTTTCTTGCCTGTTGTGCTGCTTATCAGTTGTTGTATGCTTTCTCAGATTAATGCAGCAGGTATAGCAGTGTGTCAAACAAACATAGCAGGGCATTTTTCTTTTTCCTGCTTCTTTATCAGCTTTATCAACTCTTTGTCTTTTTTCGTTTTCTTCTTTATTTCCCCCCTCCAAATTAGCTTCAAATTCAAATTGGGCTTCAAAGTATTAGGCTTGGGTTTCCTGAAATATAAGAATAGCAAATTAAGCTTGAAATTAATAAGAATTGGTTGTTTTATACTTAGTCATGACCTATGATGCACGGACACGGACACGGGACACGACACGACACGCTGACACGTTAATTCTAAAAAATATCATATTTCGACATGTTGGGACACGTTTTGATATTAAATAAATTTTTTAATATATATAATATTTATATTTAATACATATAAGAGTCCATAATAAGTCATACAATCAATCAAATATTTAAATCTCATAACATAAATATAAATATAAATAATTTTTCGTAATTTATTAATTTTTCATGTCAAATTTCAAAACAGAAAAAAAATTAATTTATAAATTTTTTCTTTTATATTTAGTTAACAAAATAAAATTAAGATTTAAAAAAAAATGTGTCCAAGCGTTGACCGCGTGTCAGAAAAAGTTGACTGCGTGTTGGAAAAACGTGTCAAAACGTGTCGGAGAGTTGACCACGTGTCCCCAAATGTTGACCGCGTGTCGGACGCATGTCTGAGCGTGTCGGAGCGTGTCCGTGTCGGACACATGTCCGACACACAAATTTTCCAATTTGGAGTATGTCCGTGCTTTCCAGGTCATAACCCAAATACCACTAAAGCCAATTGTTCCTGCCCAAAATGCATAGAAAGTGCTCTATACTACTGATTTGAGTGCAATTGACAAAAATAACAATAAAATATAGGGAGTTCAATAATAAAATATTCAAGACAACTCTCCATTTTTGAGAGCTATCAATCACCCACAATACCAAAGATGCTTATTGCCGGAAATTGATTGAGATATTGAATTTGTGTTTCTTTGATGCCTATGCCTCTTTGTTTCGTGGTAACACTATGAATGCTTCTTTCAGCTTCTTCTTCGGAGGATCCATGGAGGAAGAGGAAGAGAGAATTGTCAAAGGTGATGACATGATTGTTGAATTGGATGCAACCGTGGAAGATTTGTACATGGGAGGTTCATTGAAGGTGAGGTCATATCTGGCTAGTGTTTTGATTTTTTTTGATATGCCTCCAGCATATAATGTTTTAAACCTAAAAGGAGCAATGATTTAATCTAAAATGATTTAAAAAGGCTTATAATCATGATAATGATTATTAATCCATGCTCAGACTTACTCTTATAGAAATTTTGTATTTTGTAGGTAAAATTACAAGAAAAGAGATCAAAGCACAAGAGCATAAGAAGGGAAAATCAAAGTGTCCCGCGCCAAGAGTGCTAAGTCCGTGCTAGAAGCGCCTGAATATATTGAAGCCACTATTTCACCACGCCAATAGCGTGGGACTGGAGCTACCAGCTCCAGCTTTAGAATAAAGCCTTATTTTGTCCACGCCAGTAGCGCGAGCGTGGCGCTACTGGCATCAGGAGAACATGATTTACTTAAGTGGATTCAAATTTGCATCTAAAAAGGAGATCTTTGAAGATTTGATAGAGATTTGAAACCAAGTTATAAAAGGAGAACCAAACCCTTTTGAAAGCATCTTTGGCTGAGCTATTTTCTAAGAGGAGGATAGAGAGAACAAAAGCTGGAGATCAGAGAATTTCAGAGAGAGAGAGAAGCTTAAAGAAATTGAACATCATTAATTTCCATTCTTCTTCGTCTTATTCTTTTTATTTCTTTATTTTCTTTAAGCCAACTATGTTTGGCTAAGTTTCTTTTGTAGTTAGGGTTATGGATCCGACGTGAATCCTTTTGTGGTTTAAATTGTTTCTTTAATAAATTGTCTCAACTTGTTTGTGTTTTATCTTGGAATTATTTTATACATTCTTGTATGAATTGATCACTCATATAGGGATTTGAGGGTTAAGGTTCACAATAGATATATTGGAATTTTAATTCTGACGGGAAAATACCAATTCTTGCATAATCTAGATATAGGCTTGCAAGAATTGCAAACTCTTATAATTCATCATGTTTAAACCTTAATCTGAAAAGGAATTACTAATACATTAGGGTTCCAATTGGGTTAAAGGGTTAAAGTCACTAAGAAATTAGGATTTAACCAATCAATTAATTAGAAGATGAATTGTTTGAAACAATTGAGATAAATTATTATTGAAATTGATTTAAACTACTCAAGAAGGATCAGAGGTGAAAGATTCCCTAGTTACAGTCTCGTTATGATTTCTTTAAATCCATTTTAATTCTCAACGTTCTTAGTTTGAATTACTATTGCTTGCGATTGCCTTTATTTTAAGTTCTTTCGTTCAAAATTATTCTTCTCTACACCTATTGATATGTCCAAATTAAAGGGAATAAATGGAATAGTACTTGGTGCAATTAATCCTCGTGGGAACGATATCTTACTCATTACTCTATTACTTGTACGACCGATATACTTGTCGTGATTGCAACATATTTCCATTCATTAAATCCGTATGTCTATTGATGAGGTATGATAAACTCATAGTTTATCATGTTTTAAAGGACTAAAATCATTCTTATATCTAGTCAAAGGCATGAGAACTTAGAGTTATTTGACTAAAAAGCATGGATTTTGAATTATTGACTTTTATGAATATTTTTTTCTTGTTTTGTAGGACAATTAACTTGAAATGGAGCATTGGAGCAATGGTTAAGCTGGAAGGAATTAAAGCGATAAATGAGGAGCAACTATTTAGTGAAAATCTCCCTGAAGTTGTCTTCCAGCCAATTTTTCATATCCAATATGATGGATTTGGATCTTGTGTTATTCATAGATATTGTAGATCTCTATTTTATCTTTCCAATGAGACCAAGATCACATCAATTGAACGAGTATAGATTAAGTTATGCCCAAAATACGTAATTATATTTTTGCTGCTCGCGAATTTGCTCGTTTTATCAAGCAAACTTAGCGAGCAGCATGGTTAATGAAGGATCATGGATCTTGTGTTATAAAAGACACACTTTAGGATTTTTCTAATCAATTTTGACAGCTTGGGGACAACTTTGGAGGTAGAAGAGCTCTGTTCTGGACTTGAGAAGGCGGAGGAACGATTAAAGCTTCATCGAGGATATTTACTCCTTTCTTGTAATTAGATATTTAGTTTTATGTTATGCAATTAATATGTTTTCCCATTCCTAGCTTTGTAACTTGTTTATTAACTGATCACTCATAGATGAACACATGAATCTTGCATGAAGATAGAGATGTTGGTGTAGGATTCTGATTGGTTAATTGCTAGGTTTTGCTTCATCTATAGATAGACTTCTGAAATATATGACCTTTAATTCTTGTTCTTAATGCTTATCCTAGGAGAGATCACTAAGGGATTAGGGTTTTGAATAGGATAAATGATTGAAACACTTAGGGATTGAGTTTTAATTAATCATGAAAGAATTGTCAATAAGATGAATTGAATGTTACTTATAAGAAATAGTAGATTCATTAGGAAAATATTGAAAAAATTAACACCCTAGCTACGCTTTGCATTCTTGATTCTTGATTTTGATAGTTGTTAGGTTGTTTTAATTTCGGTTTTATAATTCAAATCATATTCTCAAAAACTTTTAAGACAGATCCAACTTTAATAGCGTAGATAAATTATTGCTTGACAGATCAATCCTCATGGGAATGATACTCTACTCATTCATTTTATTACTTGTACGATCAGTATATTTGTCGTGATCGTAACAAGGTATATTCAACATTAATATGAGTCTCATACCAATTTTTTTTTAACTTAAGCAACATTTCTTGCCAAGGATATGGATGGAAATGGAATTAAATTTAACACTGTCAGTTTTATATGATAAATGAGGATGAGACCTGGAGTGAAGGTCACTAGCTTAAGTCTAAGAAACAACTTTTCTGCAAAAATAACCTTTTTGCAAAAAATGAATAATTAAAGTTGTGTATAATCGATCCTTATTAAATCTAGGAAATATTCCTTTTGCAAAAAATGCAATAATAAAATTAAATACAATCGACCTTCACTGCTACACTTGAAAAGTCAAAGAGCATTGCTCAATGGGGATTGCCCTTTAGTTTTATTTGATATTGTAGTACTCTTTTTACCTGGCTAGATCAACCAGTAAAAAATTTAGAAAAAAAAATTAGCTGCAGAACAGAATTGATCTTGGAGCTGCTAAGCAGAACTTGTGTGTTCGTAAACACTGCCTTAGTCATGTCATACACATATTCCACATTTATATGGTAGATGATTTTACCTGGGCATGTCCCGTATTGCCCTTTCTATTCTATCTAGGGTGGCCATCGTGATTTACAATTAAATACATTCAGTGGGCACACACTCCACCACTAGTAAGGCAAAGTAACTATCATAGTTATTATCTATTTGTTAAGCATTCTGGTCCGGTAGCAGTGTAGATTTTCTCAGATATTAGGTGATTGCTTCTCAATCTCTCTGGGGTCTTGCCCCTAGCATTGTAAATATCAGGTTTGGAGGGAGAAAATTGTTTTAAAGCCTGCACCTGGGAAGAGACGCTGTAACTGTAGAAATGAGTTTAATCACAGGCAAATAGGTCCTGGGATGTTTCAACAGATGACAGAGCAGGTAAACATGTTTAAGAATGTTGAATTTTTTTTTCTTTCATTTTTTTTGTTGCTTTTAGTCTTTTCTTTGGGATGCATATCTTATAATAAAAACAAACAAATTTCTTGATTGATGACATTTTTGTATGACCGAAATTTTAGTTAATTTTCAATCCCAGACAACTTTTATTCTCTTTTATTCTGAAGAGGGGGTATGTGCATGATAAACCTTTAGTATATCTTATTTTATAGACTAAATTAATATAAAATATCAAGTTAAATAAGTTAAAAACTAGGGTTTAATATAATAATCATGAACATTATCTGAATTTTGCTTAATTGAATTATGTTTGTTATTTTTAAGGGATTTGTTGACAAAAGGAGTCAAAGATGAAGATTGGATAGATAGAGATCACAACTAGAAGAGATGAGATCAAGAGATGATAGAGGAAGATCAAAAACAAGATAGATTTGAGATCTTATCAAGTTGTTAGAGAGGAAGCTTAAGCCTCCATCATGAAGCTTAAGCCTCCTAAACAAGCAAATAGCCTCTGCCAATGGAAGCTTAAGCCCCAATAAGGAAGCTTAAGCCTCCAAGATACCCAAAAAGTCTCGGCCTATGGGCGCTTAAGCCCCCAACTCAGGGCTTAAGCGCGACACAAGAAGAAAGTTTTGTCGCGAGGAGCGCGCTTAAGCTCCCTCCATAGCGCTTAAGCGCTCAACGCGAATCTAAAATCACCGTTCTAGGGCGCTTAAGCGCGCTACAGCAAGCTTAAGCGCCCAGTCAGATCCAACTTAGGCCCATTCAATGTGTTTTATTGGGATACGAACTCTTGGCCAATAAAAGAACCATTGAGGACCAGAAATACATAACTTTTACATTTGCAAAACAATTCTTGGTGCTTGGAGGCAGAATGAACGCGGAGAAACATCAGATTCATGTTCGTGAGCGGCGGAGGCGGATCATCATCAAGTTTTCAGTGGAGATATTGAAGATTCACCAATCACCTATGGAGTTTGAGGGAGCTTTTATATTGTCTTTTGTTCTTGATTTTGCTATGTCTGGCTAGTTCTTTAAGTAGTTAGGGTTAGATGGATTTTAGTCGATTTATTATGCTTTGAACAATTTGTCTGTTAATTTTCCTTTATATCATGAATGAAGTTATCTGTTTTTAATGCTTTATATAGGCTTGAATCTTATATAATGATCATCGGTAAATGCATGACAATAGGGATGTTGGTGTGTGATCCATATCTGATAACTTCATCGTAAACGTTATGATTCTAGGGATAGACATAAGGTTTGCGTAATCTTAAGATTCTTGAACTTAATGCTTCTGTTCTTGGGGAATAACCGGGGAACTAGGGTTCTTCCAAGATCGTAAAGGTTTAGGGTAACAAGGGATTGAGCCCTAATCACATGCGAAAGAATTGATTAGATTGATACTAAGGACGATTAACATTTAGAAGGAATTCAAACATAATAAAGAGATTAAAGGAAATCGAACCCCTAGCTACGTTTTTATTTTATCAACTTATTCAAATCTTTAATTTCTTGCCTTTAATTCTTGCGAGTAATTAGCTTTAATATTTAATATTTTAATTCTGCAATTCAAATCCTGTTTCCAAATACAACTTTGATTGTCCAACTTAAGTTGCGATAGTGAATTGGTGCTTGAACCGTAATCCTCGTGGGAACGATCTCTTACTTAAATCATTATATTACTTGTACGATCGATACACTTGCCGTGAGTAGCTAACAGTGCATGTTTATTTTATTCTTGTTAACATATATGAAACTTTTCACTCCTATTTCTTTATTTATCTGTTCAGGTCTGTGAGCAATGTCCTAATGTTAAATATGAAAGAGATGGTTATTTCATCACTGTTGATATTGAGAAAGGCATGCAAGACGGACAGGTAAGCTTGCAAAGTATATATAAAGGATTTAACTCTTTAGACAATTGGCATTAGGCAATCATTGAAAATATCATGTCTTACTGGCTTTTTGACCCTTTTGCCCCTCATTAATTAATTAATAATCAATTTGCCTCTGATCCAGAACTATCCACCAACCTGCTCCCTTTTAGTCGACTACCTTGCTTTTTAGTCGAGCAAATGGTCAAAATTCAGAATGTGGACTACACCAAATTTAGTCGACTAAAAAATCATCTTGATCGACTAAATTTTTGGGATATTTAGTCGACTAAGGCACGATATTTAGACGACTAAATATCGACTGAAACCCTATATTTTCCATGTTTTCGGTCTCATTTCAATTGTTGTTGTTGTGCAAACCTAAATAGCTCCCTTTGTTCATGTGTAATCCTCTCAATCCGATTGTATTTCATCCCACCATCTCTACAGACCTAATATTGTTAAATCATTGTCATTGCACAATTCCAAACCCCCAAAATCCGAACCCAAACCCCCAATTTCAGAACCCTAGTCCCAATTTTGTGAGGAAGATGAGCACAAGTCCAAACATGTATGTGACAATGATCTACTATGATGGAAAGCATTATGAAGGCCCCAATGGTGTTCAATTTGAAGGAAAAACGAAAATGTTGAAAATCAAACGGGGCACTACATACAATGAGTTAAAGGGGAGAATTCAGCAAAAATTGGGTCTGCAAGGCAGCCAATGCGTTCAACAAATGATTGCCAGGGTAGAGACTACAGTTGGTAAGGATGCTATTTACTACATTGGTAACAATATATGTGATGATGAAGATGTCAAATGTGTCATAGATGCAATTGTTGACCGAAAATTTCAAAATTTTATTGAGATATATGTTGAATTAGATTGTGGTCAATCTTCATCTGCACCCATGCATACAAGAAGTGAACCGTATTTTGGTCATGAAGAAAGAGTAGTCGATTTATCTGCACCTGCACCTGTCATAAGCCATCTAACACTGCGGGAAATAGATGAGGATGAACAGGATACCGATATGGACAGCAACGAGGACGGTGAACCTGAGAGTGTTATTCCGCTAGGTGACACGTCAGATACTGACGTAGAGGGTGATTTCGACGCTGACACAAGCTCACCATCCCCGGGTTTGCAGGTTACGAGACCACTTCGTGTTGACCCTGTTAGCAGTGGTAAGATTCGTTTTTTAAAGATTTAATTTAGCAATTATTTTTTTTGTTATGAATGGTATTGACGGTGGCATTATAATGCATCCTTAGGTTTTGAGGTCGAGCCATTTTGGAATAAAAGCTCACATTATTCCTTCAGTAATTGGGCCCACCCTAATGATGAGACGGAGATATTCTATGGTGACGATGATGATCACGGTGGCTGGCAATTAGGGGATCCTTTATATTTGTATCAGGAGTTTCGTAGCAAATCTGAAATGTAACATGCAGTCAAATTATATTGTATGAAGACTCACTGTACTGCCGTTGTGGCAAAAAGTGATGACCATAGATTTGTGATGAAGTGTCGACACCATAATGATGGATGTCCCTGGTATGTGAGGGCATTGTTGCCGAAGAATGGAAATACTTAGGTGGTCAGTAAGTGGGTTAAAGAACACACCTGCCTAAACCAAGGTCTTACCCGGGATCATAGACAGTTGGATTCTGATGTGATATGTGCAACCATTATCAATATGTATTATTCGATATATCTAACTTCCTAAGGTATGTTTACGTTAATCAGTTTGTATTCTGACTGTTGGTCGGTGTTTTTTTTTATATAGGTATGTTAAAAGAAGATCCATCATTGAAGCCAGTTTTTATTCAAGAGAGGGTACAACGTTTGTATGGATACAACATATCTTACAGGAAAGCTTGGAAGGCTAAAATGAAAGCCATTGTCAAGTTATTTGGCGATTGGGATAAATCGTATGCATTCTTGCCTGGTTGGCTGACATACATGACGCAGGTTAATGTGGGTTCTGTGTTCAAGATTGATACGGACCAATGTGTTGATGAACGTCGAGTGTATACGGATAAGGCTGTCTTTCACCGAGTATTTTGGACCTTTCACCAGTGCATTGAGGCCTTCAAATATTGTAAACCCATAATCCAAATTGATGGCACGGATTTGTACGGTAAATACAAAGGAAGTCTTTTGATTGCAACATCACAAGATAGAGATGGTTACATTCTCCCTATTGCATTTTCTATTGTTCCTCCGGGTGAGAGATTGGATGATTGGTCGTGGTTTCTTAGCCTCATGCGTTTTCACGTCACGCATAAGCATGACATTTGTCTAATATCCGATCGTCATCCCAGCATCATCAGTGCTGTAAGAGATCATGCCGGTTGGCAGCCACCATTTGTGTATCACATGTTTTGTCTACGCCACATCGGAAGCAACTTTAACACTAAGTTTAGAGATGTGGAATTGAAGAAAACCCTGATGAAGCTAGGTACAATCTTCTTTTTAATATGTACAAATTGTATATAATGCATCCTTTTGTATCTAACGCATCCTTTTGTATCCAGGGTACTTGAGTTCAAAGATTCATTTTGATATCAGATTCCAGGAATTTATCGACAGTAACCCTCAAGTAGCTTCATGGATAGATCAGATTCCCAAAGAAAAATGGTGCAGGTCTTACGATGAGGAGGGTCGGAGGTTTGGTCACATGACGACCAACCTATCTGAGTGTGTGAATAAGGTCCTGAGGGGTGCACGTAATTTGCCTATAACAACATTGGTTAAGATGACTCAAAGTAGACTTGTTGAGTATTTCGTCAAGAGACGTGAAAAGATCCAAAAAGAAAAGGCAAAGGGTTGGAGAATTGCAAAAAAAGTTGAGGATATCATCCCAAAAAATGATCAATTAACAGTGAGCCTCCGTGTGCGGGTTTTTGATAGGGACCTGCAGCTATTTGAAGTTGAGGATGCCTACAATCAATCTACTCGGGATGCAGGTGACATAATGAGGGTGGACTTGCTCAATCCCAAATGTCAATGTGGACGGTTCACATCTAGAAGATTTCCTTGCAGTCACGTCTTAGCGGTGTGCAAGGTAGAAAAGTTGAACCACTATGATTATGTTGATCCTGTGTTCTCAATTGCACAAATTGATAAGGTATAAGCTGCACATCGGTATCCAATGGGCAATGAGTTGTTGATTCCACAAATTGATGGCCCAACCATTATCCCAAATGCATCTTTGGTACGTGCACAAGGAAGACCCAAATCTTCAAGGATACAGAATGAGATGGATTGGGTTGAGTCTCAACCGACAAGCAGTCAGAGTAGATGTAGCCTGTGTAAACAAATTGGTCACAACAAACGTACATGTCCTATGAGGATTCCCAATACAAGATGAATTGCGGAGGAAGCAGGGGAGGGGCTTAATGTTTTGATGGTTTAACATTAGAGGCATTTATGGTTTAAGATGCTTGTATTTGATGTAATGTCATGTAACTGAAAAAAATGAACGGGTTGATGTCATGATGTTTGTATTTGAAAAAAATGAACGGGTTGATGTAATGATGCTTGTATTAATAAATTATGTATGTTTAAATTGTTACAACGCAGATTTGGTGCGCATACACCAACGTTTTGACACAGTACGTAAACCATGTATGAATTTAACTTCATCTTAGTTTTTTGACTCGGATATTATGCTCCCTAAGTCACACTCCCTTAGTGGATCAGTGTAGAGTGGAAACCAAGGGCAAAAAACATGTGTAATTCAGATTTGGGGTCCTAAACCAACAATGCTTTCGGAATGGTTTACGGATAACCCACCAAATGGAGAGTCACACGAACGGGATTAGGGGACATAGGGAATAACTGAAATACAAGCGGACTCGTAGGAAAGAATGGAAGGCGATGGGCTAAACCAGTACAAGTTAATCGACTAAATTATTGGTTTAGGACCCCAAATCTGAATTACACATGTTTTTTTCCCTTGGTTTCCACTCTACACTGATCCACTAAGGGAGTGTGACTTAAGGAGCATAATTTCCGAGTCAAAAAACCGATATGGACATTAAATTCCTAAAACGAAGTCGTATGTTGTCATAACGTTTGTTTACGGTTAACAATACAAGATGTAGCCTTTTTAAACACATATACTGATTTGCTGTGATGTGTTATGGACGAATGTGACCTGTTCAATATTGTTTTGTGCCGTGATGATCAAATTGGTAAAAAGGTTCCATTCATAAGTTATACAATATTGAAATGCAATTCAATTCATTACACAACATAACATAGATCCAAAAAACATAACAATTCTGCATTCATTAAAAAAATTTACGGGACATCAACAACTTAAAGGAAATACATGAACAAAACATAATAACATGATGTAAACCCTAAATCTACTCCTCATCCTCGTCTGTGTCCGTCTCCGAGACGTCCTCATCTGACACATGACCCTCATCCCTTGCTGCCTCAGCTACCTCCCCACCTTTTGCAAGCTCCAGACGAGCAAGCCTGTCTTCCACACCCTTAAACCTTCCCTGTATGTGTCTAAACCTTTCATTCCCTTTCTTTCTCCATTTTTTATGTGCCAGCGCCATCTTTCTTATCTTCTTTGTCATTGCATTTATGCCCTTCATGACATCTCGCAGTGAAAATCCACCTTCAGGTTCAGCTATCTCCTCAACCTCAGCCACATCCTCCTCCTCCTCCTCATCCTATGCCTCTGGCTCAACAATGTGGTCATCTGGGGCAACATAAGGAACCTCAACCTGGGGCATACCACTGAACTCCCACACACCCGATCTTGTGTTCTTAGTAATCTTGCACTGCTCCAATAGACGCTTTCCGAACTTGCAATTATAGCCCGTGGTCTTCTTCAACAACTCAGTTTCCATGGGAACACCAAAGTGAACCAATATCCTCTGTACCAGACAAGCGTATGGAAGATGACCCTTATGTTTGGCCTTAAACATAAACCAACAGATATAGTGCCTCCAGTTCACCATCTGAGCATGTCGGATAGCCCACATAATGGGAATGTCATGTTCCAACACCTTGGAATGATTAAAAGATCGCGGAAACAGAATGTGGGTGAGGACATAGTGTAGTATACGGGACTCCACAGAAAGCAACCCCACCATATAGTGCAAGTGTTCCCCACAGACTCTTCTCTGCTCCTGCACAGCATCCTCGTACATATCCTGGAAGTACTACACCACTATCAGCGTCATACGCCACAGTCTGAGAAGAGTCAAAATCATAGCCGAGTATCTCCAACCATGCAGGTGCCGTCATGATGATCTCTATTCCACAGACCCTCGACTTCAGC